CTATTTGGTCCAAGTGTCTGTCTTTTTCATGTGCCACAGGGGGGAAAAAAAAAAGATTTTCCATAACATTGCATTTATTTATTTCATGAATGCTTAACAGTCATACTTAACATATTACCTTTTTTAAAAGTTAGATGTGATCACATCAGGTGTTACTCAATGCACTTTTGTCAATGCCCAATTTTATATTTCTCTTATTTGCCACCTATTGGTTATTAGCAGCTAAATATCCAAACGCATAAGACACAGTTTGTGTAGAATTTGTTTTCCACAAAGCAGATCTTGATTTGTACACTAGTGCAGAACCAGTCACTTATGGCATACCAACATCACTGTTGAGTTAAACAATGAGTACCAGTCACCTAGGAATCTAGAATTCTCATTTCCAGGAACGCTGACATTTGATGCTGAAAAATCCACCAATTCCATTCAATTATACGAATTCTGACAGGAATACACTTTACTTGCAAGACCACCTCCCGATTTCCTGCTTATCCAAGTATCAGATATAGAGCTTGCACTCGAGGTGTCAAGTGTACAAAGTTATTATACTTGCCCTCAAAAAGGGGAAAGAAGTTGTATTGAAAATGTCTGTCAAGTAGTAGTTACAAATCCATAGAAAAAAAATTCAGAAAAGATTTCCCTGCCACCTAATCTTGATAACAGAGGCTACTCAAGAACACATTTCTAAGAAATAAGTATTCTGCATTTCAACTGTATAATACGCCAAGAGCTGATTTGCCTGGCTTTGGGGGAGAAATCCAGGCCTCCCCAGAAGGGGTGAGGATGAGGGCTAGTCTCCTGTAGCCAGCCCTTCAATGCCATTTGGGGCTTTGGCCACTGCTGAGGTAGCAGCTGCCAAGAGCCCTGGGCCCTTTTAAATGACCGACTCCAAGGCATCTGCCCACTTTGCCCCATCCCCACTCCCATCAGTAATCCGGAATACAGTATTGGCCCCAGCTTTCCTCCTTCATATCTCAAGTTGATAGATGCTTTAATGGTCATATTCTGTCCATTAACCATCCTGAATCATTTCAGACTGACATTAATTTTCTGAGGCCTTCAGCAAGTCACTCAACTTTCATGCCTCAGTTTCCTCATCTGTGAAACTGGGATAATAGTCACTTGGCATATTGTGGCAATTGACGATGCTTATCAAATGCTTATTCAGAGGATAGCTCTAATATATTAAATTGGATCAGGAAGACTTATGTCATTAGACCATGTTATGCTCTTATGAACAAGAGACATGAATTGTAATTCCTTCCAGATGTAAGAAGCTTCCAACTTTATACCTCCTCCTTACTTGAGCTGGATGGCATAGCTGAGCAATTAGCCAGTGTTTAACAGACAAAAGGGACTTGGCTGGAGGATGGGTGGCTAAAACACACTCAACTGTTTGTAGGGTGAAGGTACGCTCCATGTGCTAAATTTATAATCTAACGAGCCCCGAATGGGGAAAGATTACATGCTTACATAAATCACTCCCTTCCCCAAATCTCTGTGGGCAGGCTACACAGACAGACAGTGTAGCCAGAATCCAAGTACCCAGCACCAACTCACTTGTACCTCCCTTCCCCGTACCCCCAACAGAGAAAGTGGGGATGAAGTGGGGTGGGACACAAGTGCTGCCCCAATGTTCTGGCCAACCATGCTGAGCCATGTTGGTGGATATTTGTAGCCAGACAGAGACCCCCCCACCACCACCACCACCCCCGCCACATTCATCTTGCTTGCCCCTCTGAGGTGCCTGGAGCACACAGGACACAGAACAATAAGATCAGCAGAGTCTTTGATGCCTTGACCGAGGCCTGGATATGCTGGCTCATCTGACCCTGGATAACTGTAAACACAGATACGAGAGGGTGATCAAGTGAATAAGCTGACCAAGAGGCTGCGAGAACTGCCCTTGGCTGGCACCTATATTGATACGATCACACAGCCGCCCCGGGAGAGGAATCTCCCGCTGAGAAAAGAATGCCCAGTACTCCCAATTTAGTTCTCTCTCTTACAAGTGTAAATTAAGTTCACAACTCCCTTGTAAGAACTGGCGTCACAAAGATGAACCGGCAACATAGATAAGAAAGAATACGTGACCCCACGGGTATAAAGATGGGTCCAACAGCACACTCACTCTGAGTGTCAATCTACCATCTATCTGCTGGTTGGGTTAGGTCAGTGGTCCCCAACACGGTGCCCGTGGGCGCCATGGCGCCCGCCGGGGCATTTATGTGCGCCCGCCTAGTCATCTATCCCCTTCCCTCCGGCCTCTTGTCTAATCAGCACCAGGAGAGCTCGGGAGACCCTCCGCCTGCTCCATGAGGAGCTTGGACCCTGGCGCAGGCAGTGCCCCACCCAGTGCTCTGCCTCGCTCCTGCTCCCAGGTGTTTGTCCAGGGCTGCCAGCCAGCTGCACTACCACGTCGGCCCCTCCGCACTTCCGCAGCACCCCCGGCAGCTGCTGGCTGCAGAATCCCTTGCAGCGGCTCAGGGCAAGCCCTGGCCTGGCGGCTCCTCTCTCTCCTCTTGCAGGGGAGGGGTGCCTGCGGCGCCCCGCTTCACATCGGGGAAAGGTGTGTACAGCTGCAGAGAAAGGGAAGTAGGGGGACCCGTGACACTTTTCACCTCTCCCCCAGAGTGCTCCGACATTTCCGTGCGTGCTGTGGGGAGGGGACAAGGATTTGGTGGGGAGAGGGAAAGGAGATGGAATTCGGTCATTGGGGGGAGGTGGGAGAGGGGAGCAAACTGGGTCTGGTTGGGATCTGGTTTGGCTTGGAGGGAAGAGGGTGCAGGGTGGATCAGGTGGGGGAGAGAAGAGGGGTGGACTGGGTCCAGTCACTGAGAGGTCGGGTTTGCCTAGGAGGGGAGAGAAGGTAGAAATTGGGTTCCGGGCATGCATGTGGGGGGGAGGAGTCGGGATGTGTGTGGGCAGGGATGTGTATGGAGGGGAGACAGGACGTAGGCTGGGTTTGGCCGGAGAGTGTGGTGGGAGTCAAAGAGAAAGGGGCGCTTTCCTCCTCAGTGCCTGTCCTGGGGGGGAGCCCCCAGGTGGCCCAGACCCTGCCCCCGGGTGGCCCAGCAGCCCCGTGCGGTGCCCACCACCCAAAAAGGTTGGGGACCACTGGGTTAGGTGATTGCCTCCCGAGGTCTACGGGGACGCCCACCTCGTATTCGTCTTTCCGAGGAATTGAGGAACCAATCCTGGCCTGACACGCTGGAATCGTGGAGCAGAAGGGGGGTAAAAATTGTACCTCTATGTGTCCTTTTGTTTTTAGCGCATGCATAGAATAGAGCTCTTTAAAGATTAAGCTGTCACTTGATACCATTATTTTCTATCTTCCTTTTCCTTTGTAACCATTTCAACATCTGTATTTGCTAGCAGTTAAGAAGTAGAACAATAGCCATTGTAACCACATGCTTTATAAGCCTTTTAATAAACCTGTAACTGTTTAAGCTTTAAACTGACTCCTCCTGTTGCTGTAACAGAACCAGACACAATCAAAAGAACTCCAGACGGTCATAGGGGCAGACTCAGGCAGAGCTGGGCTTTTGGGTTCTGTCGCCTCCCCGGGACAGACCTTTGGGGCACCCGTCGGCCTTCCCTTGGCCGCCCACTGTGAAGGGACCTTGTGTCCTAGCAGCCAAAGACTCGGGTGTAATAAGCTCTCCCTGCAGACTTATTGTAATGTGAAGCCTTATCGTGACTGTTCTTACAAATTCCTGCAAATGTAGGAATTTTTAACCTGCTCCTAGCTATGGTTGTGTAAATCTCAAGTTATGACTGAAATCCTGTGCACTAATAATGCTTACTTGACATTAATGTGAGGAACAAACTTCATTTGTATCTTCCAGTTTAAGTTACCCTTGTGCTGCAAAATAAAGAATGCTTGAAAGTAGAGTACCTTGAGAACAAATGCTTTTCTCACTCAAAGCTACAGAAATGGGAATCTTTTCCTTACAAGCACAAAAATAATGTAGATGAGACTGCCTCTGTCTGCTTGCACGAAGAAGTAACATTTCAAAACATTGGGGCTCAGATTTCAAAGCTGCCTAAAGGAGGCCCACTTCCCAGTAAAGTTCAATTAGAGACAGTTTGAAAGTCTCCAGCCAGCCTGTTTGGGGCACACAAAGCTTTATTGCCACAAAGTGACTCATTCACACTCACATAAGGAATAAATAGATCCAGTGCATACATTTTCAGTGAGGCTGTACAGCTTGCACAATCCCACTTCATACGTGCAACACCTCTGGGCACTAGGGTTGCCAGGTGTCCAGTTTTGAGCTTTCTGTTCGGAAAACAAATTGAGAAAATATAAATGTCCAGTATTTTCTAAATAAGATGTAATGTAGATTGTGATGTAATGTCAGCGAGTCCAGTATTTTTGTTGAAACCATCTGGCAACCCTACCGGGCACACGTTAAAAACCTAATATAAAAAAGTGCACGGATAAGCTCTGAAGCACAGCCCATGTTTTTTTGTATGCATTTACAGGGCCTTTGGATGCCACAGCAACCATCTGTACTCATGGGCAGATTTTCAGTATCAATATTGGCAACATATGAAGATAAAGAATGTTCACAACACAAACTATTACCACTTCCCCCTCTCTCTCTCTCTCTCTCTCTCACATGATTGCTTGAGTAGCAGCAGCTTACTCAATATGCTACCACTAAAAGTGACCTTTTAGGGGAGGTTTAAGTGTTCAAAGCACCAAACCACAGACGCAGCGCATTCAGCACCAGACTATAGGCACACATCGTTTAGAGAGAGGGCACAGTAGTAACAGAATTCCCTATTGCCCTTTCCAATGTATATGCTACTCAGTAATGAATGTATATTTCACTCGACTGAAGACAAGAGGCCACCACAGGCAAGGGGGGGAGGGAAGAGAATAACTGCACAACAGACTGTTAAACACAGTTTTGTTCATTGAGATCATTGCAAATCCACCTCCGCCCCATCCCAAACAAACAAATAGGAACTGGTGAATTTTACTTTACCTGTCGACTTCCCTGCTTGGAGGAGCAGCTGCTGGTACTTCTTGAAGGTGACAACACTTTCTGGGACACACCCAGGCTCTTTTCTTCACTCATGATTCCAGAGACAATGTGTCTCTATTCAGTTAGAATACCATGTGAAGGGCATTAAGCAAGTGCATTGGAAGACCATGGGAGGGAAAGGCAAGAGTCATTGTTTAGCCATATGTATTCCAATGGCATCCTCAGGGCCCCAAGGAGATTCCTAAGAGAAACAAAACCAAGAACACATGAGCATCAGAGCTAACCCATATTATCTGGAAACATGCTGTTTCCAAATAACAAGAATTCATAATAAAGCCCATGATAATGCAGTTGGACTGAACTGCTTATGTTAGAGTGTAACTGAACAACTGTTTTAGAAAAATTTTCAAACGTCAAAGAGAAACAGCAACACTGAATTCTAGCTGCTTATTTGAAAGTCATGCCACCCAATTGCTTGTAAAGAACACAATTTAAATGCAACACCAAGTGTCTCTAAAGATTACATAATCCCAAATCATGAAAGAATATACACAGGAATGTCGGTATGTATTTAAATGCACACACACACACACACACACACCCCCCCCCCCACACAACACACACATCCTCCCCTTTAAATAAACAACAAGAAATCCACAGAAAGTTAGGAAAAACACACTTTGTGAATGGTGTGGGGAGCATACCACAAGAAGGCTGTAAGGACAGTTAGCTCTCCAGGTTCCTTGAGAATTTAGATACAGTGCACATTTGCAACTTCAAAAGTTGCTTGCACTTTTAGCAAAAGGTTGTGCAAATTTAGCTAGTTATAGGTAGGCATGACTAATCATACCTGGAGTTCGAAATATGTAACTATGTCCCTTCTGTTACTGAATGGCAGGATGATTAATTAATTAATAGCATGTTTAACAGTGGTAGATGTAGTGTGTGCAAAAAACCTAGATGGAAACCCCGAATGACGGATTTGTAGTGTTGGCAATGGTTGCCATAGCAACAGTTTTTCCACCCAAAGGAGACCACAAACAGTCATATTTTTCAAAACCTGAAAGAAAGTGTTGTGCAAATTGTGCATCCCTTCAGACTTGACTACTTGTGGACAAAACAGCCTCAGAATTTCCATGGTAGGAGGAAGGGCTCAGAAAAGTAAAGGAAGTTTACACACAGTAGAGGAAGATTTTATTGCTGATACAAGTACATGTGACTCCTCTGCATTCAATAAATCACTGCCTTCAATAAGGCAGCTGTGCCAGTTTACACTCCAGGAGCAATTTAATCTCATGCATGGAGAAGGTTTTTTTAAATTTTGTTTTAAAGGCTTGAAAAATAAATTCAGAGACAAGATGGATTAGTAAATGGAGAAGCCCTAAGCCACACATTTTTAAAGAGTTCAAGCTGCCTTACTTTAAACAACTAGGTTTTTTCAGAAAAAGTGTCCAAATATAACTGCATACAGTGCGGTTTTCTCCAGATGTTCAGACAATACCTCTGTGCTGCTATAAACTGGAATTTAGATGTTAGAGGATTTTTTTAAATCAAATATATTCTCTACAAGACAATTTAAAGGAAGACTTATTATAAAGTTTCTACCGAAATACCCCTCTCTAATTTAAGACAGAATATTTTTCTTAATTCACCTTATATTTCAGATATTTATTTTAAGTTACAGCAAAAATAGCCCTACTGTTTATTAAAGTAAAATTAAAACAGCTCCTCCCAAAGACTGGATGGTTTAGGTTAATAGTCTTGTGGGGGAAGGGGGACTTCCCTTTCATGCGACTACTTCATAGGCAAACCAAATGGACAGTGAATGAACATTATTACCTTCAGATTCTATAATGAAGAGTGAGGTATATGAACTAGTATGGCATATGAAACAGCTGTGCAGTGAACTATATTATGGGCCTCATCTGTACTGTTTTATTACTGTTACACAGCTGAAGATTAGGGATGTTGTATTCTGAAAATGAGGTTCTCCTGCTCTTTTTTTTGAGTGTCATTTTCCTCCTTTGCCATTTCACAAATGTTTAGTGTTTTCAATATTTGCAAAGCTCACTTTACCTTAGTTTTCAATAGTTGGCTCGGAGTTCACATACTGTTTTTCTTGAGGAGTTTCTAGCTCCTTAGCAAAGCAATGATTTCTTTTTTAAAATAAGTCCTGTTACAAAGATGGCAGTCTCCTTTTACAAGCAGATGCTTAAAATATAAACAAGGCTACAATCAAGGCTCTTGAAGCCCATTTAGGAAAAACTATTATTCATGCACCCTGCTACCCAGAGTTCAGTGCAGGAAATGCCTGTGTGGCACTGGTTACAGGGTGAACACTGGCCACTTGAAATTTCCCAGTCTTGTGGTTGGAAATCACCACTCTAGCTTCACTGTTAATTGTCTGACATATTTGCAAAATTTATAACAGTTCATGACCACAAGCAGGCTCTAATTTGCAGAAGTGCACTGAGTGCCTATTGAACCATCTGTCAGGTCCCAGCCAGGAATATTCTGAGGCACATTACACCCAAATACTGTGGCAAAGGCTCCCTGATTTCTAAAACCTAATTTCTACATGCAGATGGTGCTCAATTCTGAGACAGCTGCAGATTACTGCTTTAATTCAATAATAAAAAAAAGAGGCTAAGATAATCAGTATACTCCTAAAATAATTATTATATGCCTTATATTTGGTTGTAGTCCTGACTCTATAGCAGTGGTATTCCTTATAACCGTACATTTTTGTTTTCCCTCCTGCATTTCTCTAGGATTTGGCTTATTGAGAAGAAACAACCCAAACAGTGTCTCCCACACAGCAAAACAGAAGCAGGCTTCTGTAGTCAGCTCTGAACAAGGTAGAGCTGTAGGGAAGATTGGAAATAAATGGCATCCTCTGCCCCGGGATCTTTTCAGTTCTTTGATTGGTGCTTCCAAATGATGCTTCACATCAACCAACTGAGGAGTTACAGATTTGTGCATGAGACATGGGAAGTTTTATTTTACACCACCTATGAAACTTAGTGCCGCAAAATATTAGAGCCGAATAACTTGGCAAGACAATTAATACATCGCTTGCACTAAGGGTTTGTCTGTAAAAACAATTCATAGTAAGCTGGAGGTGGGAGAAGCAGCGTGAGGTGGGAAGACTCCCTGTAGGGTTTTTGATGTGTGTGTGTTGGGGAGGGGAAGAGCCTTTCTGTGCAGCAAGGGGATGGGTCACTTGCTCGTTTGAACTAAAGTTAATAAAATAATACCGTATTTTCCGGCGTATAGGGCGACTGGGTGTATAAGACGACCCCCTATCTTTTTAATTAAAAGATAGGGTTTCATCTTATACCCCAGCGCCCCTCCGCCTCCTTTGCTCCCGGTGTCCCTGGTCTGCTGGAGATGGTCCCCAGCAGACCAGAGGCACCGGGAGCAAAG